TTAATAACTTGGATGAGGAAAAAGTGAATGTACTGTAGCCAAGTTTTTGGATAACACAAAAATAGGTGGGAAAGCAAATGGTGAGGATGATACACAGAGTCTGCAGAGGGATATAGACAGGTTAAGTGAGTGGCAAAAAGTTGACAGACACAATATAATGTGGGAAGATGTGAGGTTATAGACCTTGACAGGAAAAATAGAGCAGATGAATATTATTTAAATGGAAAAAGACTGCAGAATGTTACAGCAGTCAGGGATTTGGGAAGCCTGTCCATGAATCGCAAAAGGCTAGCATCCAGGTTCAGCAGGAAATAGGGAACGAAAATGGAATGTTGTCTTATTTCAAAGGGAATGGAGTATAAAAGAAGGGAGGCGTTGCTAAAACTATACAAGGCACTAATCAGATCACAGTTTTGAGTTCCTTATCTAAGGCAATTCAAAGGAGGTTCACTAGGCTGATATCAGGTACACAGGGACAGTTTTATAAGGAAAGGTTGAGTAAATTGGGCCTGATGTACTTGGAATCTAAAAGTATACGAGGTGATTTTATTGACACATACAAGATTTTTAGGGAACATGACAGGGTACATGCGGAAAGGTTGTTTTCCCTGGGGGGTAGTTTAGGACCAGACTGCATAATTTCAGAATAAAGGATTACACATTAAAGACAGAGACGCAGAAGACTTTCTTCTCTCAGAGGGTAGTGAATCTGTGGAATTCTTTATCACAGAAGGCTGTCAATACTGAGATAGACAGATTTTTAATAAGCAAGGGAATCAAGCATTAAAGGGAGAAGACAGAAAAGTGGAGTTGAGGATTATCAGATCAATCATGATCTCATTGAATGCAGGAGCAGATTAGATGGCTGAATGGCCTACTTCTACTCCTTTGTCTTATGGTCCAGACCTAACAGGTCAGCAGCAAAATCAAAAAAAGGAGCAACTGGGAGAATAAAACAAATAGTAATTAGACAACAAAGCTTTGCTTTCAAAAGCCTGTAAACTGTGAGGGGAAAAAAAAAGAAAATAAAAAGAGTTAACAGGTTTGAGATTCTGGAAAAGAACAAGATAAAATTGGAAATTGGATATGCATGTTAGTTTCAGCACACTGATAAGAGCACACACCTCAAAAATCAATGACAAAGGCACAGAGCTAACTAACAAAAAAGCACCAAGGCAGAACAATACAAGACTACAGGTCTTTCTGTTGTGATTCAGACTAGTTTGTGCTGGAGTGTCTGAATTAAGTAAAGTGCTCACTGTGTCAGCGTAAAGAGGTTTTCATGGTTCAAGTTCAGGAAGGCACTACAACTCATCACCAGCTCAAGCACGTGGTGGAGTTTTTGGAGACGGAACATCTGCTCTTCCAGACTTATGGTGCAACTCACAAAGTAATCCTGCAGAACAAATAGCAATGGTAATTAAAAACTGGTTATTAAAAGAGATAGAAACTAAAACTCGAGTTCTTTTCCGTGATTTATAAAATTAATTCATTGTGCTTACCAAGTAATTCAAAGTAGTGAGTTCTTGACCTAGAAGAAAATATTTTCTCAATGATTTTCACTGTATGGTATTGGAAAAAAAAACTTATTTATATATATTTTTCTGAGTGAAGTACTACTGCAGGCTTTATGATATATTAGCTCATACACACTTACTACAGCACTTTTTTTCCCTAACCCACCATGGAAGACCTGAAACAGACTTTTACCAAGTCAAGCAACAGTGTACTTGCACTTCTTCCAATGCAGTATACTGGCCATAAGATACCATAACAGAATTAAGCCATTCAGCCCATCGAGTCTACTCCACCATTTGATCATGGTTCACATATACGCGGTGGCTCAGTGGTTAGCATTGCTGCTTCACAGCGCCAGTTTGCACATTCTCCCCATGCCTGCGTGGGTTTCCTCTGGGTGCTCTGGTTTCCTCCCACAGTCCAAAGACGTGCAGGCTAGGTGGATTGGCCATGCTAAATTTCCCATAATGTTCAGGGATGTGAAGATTAGGTGGGTTACAGGGAGACGAGTCTGGGTGGGATGCTCCGAGGGTCGGTGTGGACTTGTTGGGCCAAAGGGCCTGTTTCCACACTGTAGGGATTCTATGAAACCCCATTCTCCTGCCTTCTTCCTGTAACCCTTGCTCCCCCTACTAATCAAGAACCTATCTATCTCAGTCTTAAATATACACAATGGCTTGGGCTCCACAGCCTAATGCGGCAATGAATCCCACAGATTTATCACCCTCTGGCTGAAGAAATTCCTCCTCATCTCAGTTCTAAAGGGTCATCCCTTCACTCCGAGGCTGTGCCCTCAGTTTCCAGTCTCTCTTACTAGTGGAAACATCTCCATGTTGAGTATACCCAGGCCTCTCTGTAATCTGTAAGTATTCTCTAAGTTTCAATGAGATCATGCTTCTAAACTTCATAGAATGATGACCCAGAGTTCTCAAATGCTCTTCATATGACAAGATTTCATTCCAGGATCATTCTTGTGAATGTCCTCTGGACCCCCACCAACACATCCTGCCTTACATACAGGGCTCAAAGTTGCTCTCAATATTTCAAATGCAGTCTGACCAGAGCCTAGTACAGCCTCAGTTGTACATCCGTGCTCTTGCATTCTAGATCTCTCGAAATGAACGCTAACATTGCAGCTGCCTTCCTAATTGCCAAAGGAACCCGCATGTTAACCTGAAGAGAATCCCGAACAAGGACTCCTAAGCCCTTTTTGTGCGTCAGATTTCCGAAGACTTTCCCCATTTAGAACATAATCCTTCTCCCTATTCTTCCTACGAAAGTGAATACCCTCACATTTTCACACATTGTATTCTAATGCCCCTTCTTTGCCCACTCTCCTAGCCTGTCCAGGTCATTCTGCAGCCTCCCTGCCTTCTCAACACTACCGGTCCCTCCACCTATCTTTTTATCATCTGCAAACTCAGCAACAACACCCTCAGTTCATTTGTCCAGACTGCTAATGTATAACGTGAATGATTATGGTCCCAACACTGACCCCGGTGGAACTCCACTAATCGCTGGCTGCCATCTTGAAAAAGATGCTTTTATCCCCTCTCTGACTTCTTTCAGTCAGCCAGTCTTTATTCATGCCAGTACCTTGCCCCTAACATAGGTTCTTAACTTCTTTAGCAGCCTCCTCTGCAGCACATTGTCAAAGGCTTTCTGGAAATCCAAATAGATCACATCCACTGGTTCTCCTTTGTATAACTTTATCATTATTTCCTCAAAGATTTGTCAAGCATGACAAGCTTTGATGAAGCAGTGTTGATTCAGCCCCACCTTAACATGCATCTCCAAGTACTTTGCAATCTCATCCTTAATAATGGACTCTTAACAACAGAGGTCAGGCTAGCCAGCTTATAAACTTCCTGTCTTTTGCCTCCCTCCCCTCAAACAGGTGTGTTACATTAGCCAATTTCCAGTGCTTTGGGATCCTCTCTGACTCCAGTTTGCCCCCGATTCTAATTTTTCTGGGGCTCCTTGATGCCACACTTGGTCGAGTGTGGCTTTGATGTCAAGGCCTCTTACTCTTACCTCACCTTAAGCTCCCTAATCAAGTTGACTTGACTACATATCATCAAATCCAGAATTGCATGTTCCCTAGTGGGCTCTACTGCAAGCCGCTCCAAAACAAATCTCCTAGAGATTCCATATATTACTTTTCTTGGGATCTGCTAACAACCTTATTTTCCCAGTTCACGTCATTTGGTAACATGGCGGCGGAGTAGGGCTTCTGAACCCAGGGCTTGACAGCTCCATTGCATTTCTTTTTGCTTTTCTCTCTCTTCTGGTTTTTATTTCTCTTTTTATTTTACTTACCGCTTGGCGAAGAACTTGGTTGCGGCGTCAGCATTGATGAGTAGTCCCAGCAGCACGGTTCCTGGCAGCTTCTGCATTGTTGAGGCATTCCTAGCGCCGACTCAACATCAAGTTCATCTTACCTTCTCTTGGTGCCTTCAGGTGAAGAAGGAGGTTCCAGGCGGCTTCTGCATTAGAGAACGTAGTGTGGATCAGGCCATTCGATGTGGCTGCATCCTGGTGGATCCTTTGACTAGGCTGCTTTGTCGGCAGCAAAAGACGAGGTGGGTCCAATGGCCCAGGTTTCCTTGAGGCTTCTACAGCATCTTTGCGGCAGTATGGTTGGTCTGGTCCGTCTTGGAATTCCTTTAGGTGGCTTCGGCGTCCATCTTTGTCAGCATCAGTCTGGGTCTCCTACTGGTTGTTTCAATCTATGACTCATGCGGCTTTTTCTTTGGCATCGTGATGGGTACAGCCCAGGATTCCAAGGGGATGGTAGGGTCAGGTTCTCGAACCCAGACCTGTGAAATGGACTAAGTGGACCTTGTCTTTTAATTGTCTTTTTTTTTTAATTTTCATTTTTTTTAAATCATATTATTGTGGAAGGACTGTTATTCTGAACTTTTAAATTTATTTATTTTTCTAATTTATTACTATGATTTTTTACTTTTCAAGATCTGTAACGCTGGACATTTTATTTCTTTAGTTTTCTTTTCTTTATCCTAAGAATTTGTACTCAAGAATCTATACCAAGGTTACCTTTGTACCTAGGATGGTGCCGCAAGTGGCAAGCTACTTCAATTCAATGCATATTGAAGTCCTCTATGATTGTAATATTGTCTTTGTTACATGCCCTTTCTATCTCCAAGTTTATTTTCTGCCCCACATGCTGACTGCTATTAGGAGGCCTGTAGATAACTTCCAACAGGATCCTTTTTCCTTTGTGGCTTTTCAACTCTCCCCACACAGATTCTATGCCTTCCGACCCTATTACACTTCTTCCTTCAGGACTCTCAATCCTGCTTACAAAAGGATGCAATCTGTACTTCTAATTCTACCACTGCCTCTTCTTTTTGCTCCCCCCACTTGAATGGCCTCCTGTACCATGGTGCAGTGGCTAGTTTGCCCATTCTCCCTAAAATCCTTTTCCTTATTCACAGGGAGCAAGAACTTCATATACCTGTTGGATAAGGTTAAGAGCTCAGGTTCCTCCAATGTTGAATTCAGTATCCCTCTACGTGCCTCACTTGTAGTCACACACTCCTGTCCCTAATCACTTGACCTCCAGGATGTGGATGCCTCCTAAAATACAGCATCCAGGTAACTCTCTCCCTCCTTAATGTGTCGCAGTGTCTGAAGCTCAGATTCCAGCTCATCAACACTAGACCCGGAGTTCCTCAAGAAACCAACAGTTTCTATAGATGTCGCCAGTACGAATCACAATGGGGTCAACCAGCTCCTACATAATGCAGCTATAACACATCCTCTGGCTCTGCATCTCCACATTAGATTTTAACTTGTATTTTTAAATTTCTTACTGGTGTCTCTCCAAATGCTGCCAAACGGGAGTATTTCCAGCATTTTCTACTTTTACTTTAATTTAAACACAGTTGGTTAATTATTTTAAAGTCTCATGTCAGCCATAAGGAGACAATTGATAAGGATCAGTGTGACTTTCCTCCAGCTAGATTTCTTCTGTTCCTGCCTTACCCGACTACATCCAAAAAGGTTTTCTGATCACCATATATCATCAGTCCAGTGTAGATCAGCACTAAAGGAGGGATTAAAACACATTTGCTATTATCATTATCTTCCTCAAAAACACGTCCCTACTTCAACTATCTTTCTCTTGTCTCTTTTTGAACTAGTTTAATTATCTGTTAGATTTTTTATACTCTCCAAGATCATGGATTGATTTGTGATCACTGAGATAAAGGTGAGAGCTCCTACCAGGGCTCTGTTACCACCACATATGAACTGTCTACAATTGAACTACATCTATTCAACCTCTAATCCTCCTCTCTTCTTTCCATTTGAGTAGTAGCAAATGTTTGTGCAGAAACTCTCCTAGAAATATGGTAAAATGTAGATCACTGTGACTGTGAATCAAATTCTGACACACTGTCGTAAGGTCTGTTGTATGCACAGAATTTTACAACCAAATGCAGCAGTTTTAAAATCAAAAAGCACACACCAAATGTTAGGTATTTAACAGAACAACATATACCTATGAAATAGTTTATGTAGTCCCTCTGCAATTTATCCAATCCTATCTCCAACAGCATTCGGATAGCAGTAATTCCATTAACAGAGACAGTGGGCATGGTCCCCTGGTACGATTGCTGAATCAGCTTACCGAGAGAACTGTTGCTTCCTTGATGGATCTGGAAAGTGATCAGTGATTGTTCAATATTCCAGTTACAATAAACTTCTTAGAATTGCAAAAAAAAACCCCACAATCTCAAAGAGAATCAGAATGTTCCCCATCCCACTGCTAGGTTTCTGGAATAGATAACTTTTTTCTTTATTCTTTCACAGGATGTAGGTGTCATTGACAAGGCCAACAATTGTTATCCATCCCTAACTGCCATTGAATTGAGTGGCTTATTAGGCCGTGTCAGAGGGTAGTTAAGAGTCAACTGCTGAGAATCTGAAGTAACATGTAGGTCAGACTTCATACAGATGGCAGATTTCCTTTCCTAAAGACATACATAAACCAGTCTTTACAACAATTGATGATAGTGGTTACCATTACTGAGGCTAGCTTTCAATTCAGATTAAAGGGGTAGGCAGTGGCGTAGTGATGATGTCACTGGACTGGTAATTCAGAAACCTAGGCTAATGCTCTTGGGATGGGATCAAATCCCACCAGAGACAATGGTGGAATGTGAATTCAATAAAAATCTGAAATAAAGGACCTAGACAGTTTGTGACCATGTAACTACAGTTGATTGCCATATGATATATGGCATCATTATGTATGGATAGATCATCCATTTGATGGAGGGAATGTAACTGATGAACCAGCTGAAGATGGTTGAGCCTGGAACAATTCCCTTAGGAGCTAGGGATCTTGTAGCGTAGTGGACCAGAAGGCCCACGTTCAATTCCCACTTGCTCCAGAGGTGTGTCATGATATCTCTGAACAGGCTGATTAGAAAATATATTCTATAGGGAACTCTGCAGTGATATCCTGAGATGTCTGACCTTCAACAACCACAACTATCTTACTCTTCGTGCTAGGTATGACTCTAACTTCATATTCCATTCTGTCCCCCATAAACCCGAATCAAGAATACAATGCAAATAATTCTTGCTGTCTGAAGTTTGTGAAAGCGGGAGGATAAACTTGGGGTGAATTACAGCAAGTGATCACCAAAAGTTATGGATTAGTCTCAGTAATAATTAGTACAGGACCTAAGGTAAGTGATAGCATGTAAAAGATTTTTCCTACTTGTTTAACTTACCCAAAGATTGATACCAGAGGGCACCTGGAGAACTCAGCAACGGTAAGAGATAAAGAGACAAGCATGAGAGGTTAAACAGAATGTCACCTGCATACATATAAGAATGTGACCTATGCTATGGGGTATCACCAAAAGGAAGCATACAGGCTTCTACAGGGAGCTCCTTTATCATGCTAAACAATATTGGAACAAGTAGTATGCAGGCAGAATAATTTAAAAAACATCAAAATAATAAAATAAAACAAAGAATTGCAGATTCTGGAAATCTGAAACAAAAGCAGAAATTGCTGGAAAAACTTATCTGGCAGCATCTATGGGAAGAAAGAATTAATGTTTTAAGTCCAGTGACTCATCATCAGAACTGTGATAAATAATGACTTTGTTACATACCCATGGTTGAATGTCCTTGCATTTTAAGTGTTGAATGACTAGTGCCAAGCAATCGACCACATCCTGGTATGAAGACACAGCTAAAATAAAGGAAAGCAACGAATACACAACAGTATTTATTCAAGCATTAAGAAATATATGTCACTTATGTTATCATCTAATATTTTCCAAAAGAATGTCTAAAACTAATGGAATGAAGGAATAGGTAGTGGATATATTAAGGGTTAATTGGATGTGAATTGATTGCAAAGGTACAAGGAGCCAGTAATCAGTGGGGTGTAAGTTTACTGGCTGAAATAAAAAACCACTGAACTCTTAAAGCCATCCTGGCAACTCAATATCTCCCCCTGCCTGAGGCATGGTGACCCTCAGGTTAAAACTCCAACAGTTTTTGCTCTCTCTCTCTCTAATGGGAGAGCAGACCTATGGTCCCATAAGACAATGATGATTTTACCTTTCACTTTACCACTGAGCAGCAATGCTCAAAATCAGTGTCATTGTGCTTCCCAATAGAAGTAATGTGGCCACAGGCATACGTACTTTTCCTCATTCCAGTCCAAAGCAGCTCCGCAAAATCAAGATCTCCGCGTTCAGGAGCGAATGACGCATGAATGGTTGATTCAACAGCAGCTGCATCACTTTTTAATTTCTGATATAAAAACAAAGAATTTGAAGAAAAACTAAAGACTTTTTTTTCCCCAAAATCCACCAGTAGAATCTTAGAATTCCTCAAATAAAGATTTATAAGGCTATTAACCTACCATAGATGAAACTATGGATGCTATTCTACTGCAAGGTAGAACACAAGTCTTATATGAGTCATATGGCACTGAAGGAGATCATTCAACATATTGTGTGCCTGTTCTTTGAAGAGGCTTTCCAATTACTCCCAGTTAAACCATAAGCTCTCCAAATTTCTGCTTTTCAATCATCATTAGGCGCTGTTTTGAAGAATCAAAGTTTCTAAACCTGCATAAAATTACATGCAGATTGACTACAGTAGAAGCGATACAATTATTTTTGACAAGTTGAAGTTTTTTTGCACGGTTTAGTACAGCACTCTCTCTAAACTAATTTTAAATTATTGTATTGATTATTTTTAAATATATACATTAAAGCAAAGCTTTTCTTGGCTCATTTATATTCACTACCCTGCATTAGAGTAGCACGGACAAAGCCCAACATAAATCTATTATTCTGTCTGCACAAACTGGAAAACACACCCAAACCTAGAACACAGGGGACTTAAAACTTAATTTCTTACTATTCCTTGTAAATACAATTCCTTTACCATAATTCACGTGTTGATTTAGCTAAAATACTGTAGACCCCAATATCCCAGACTGGAAATGGTTGCAATTGCTTTAGGAAAATAAAGCAAAACAGGCAAGTTCTTTAAGAGAACTGGTTTAGTTGACAATTGCGGTTATTTGTGACAGTGTGACTGGAACTAAAGGAGGGTTGATGGTATGCATCACAGCAGAGCTCCAAATCAACTTTAACAGGTTGTGGATGAAAAGTATACTTATATTGCATATTCAAATGCTTAACTTTAGAGGATTCTCCTTCAGAAGAATAAAGACAGGGTTACATTTCCACATCTTTCCCAACAAGTTTCCAATCAGCAGATGATCTTACCTCTGTCTCCTTGCTCTTCAGCTGTTGTTGAGAGACATTGAGTTGGTTCTTTAGGTCTGTATTGGGCATAAAAACACAAAAAAATCTGTGCTAGGCCAATTAATACAATGTTAAAGTCCATTCATAACTGAAGAAGCCCATAAAACATATCTTCATGCTTTTTTAAATTCACTCAAAGGAAGTCTCTGGCTAGACCAGCGTTTATTTACCATTCCCTAATTGACCAGAGGGTTGTTAAGAATCAACTACATTGCAATGGGTCTGAAGTAACATATAGGCTAGACCAGGTAAGGATCACTGATTTCCTTACCCAAATGGCATCAGTGAACCAGATGGGTTTTTCCAACAATCAACAATGGTTTTATGGTTATTATTAGGCTCTTAATTCCAGATTCTTTATTGAATTGAAATTCCATCAACTGCCATAACAGGACTTGAACCCAGATCCCTAAAATATTAACTGAGTTTCCGGATTAATAGTACAGCGATAATACCACTAGGTCATCGCCTCCCCTATGAGAACTTCTTCACAGCTTTTAGTATAATTCAACCAATTATTTTACTCATCATATTTACAGATATATCAGACCTAAAATCAAAGGAGAAACAGTAGGCAATTTTTAACTTGAACAAATCTGACAGATTTTCCATTCCATCTCCAAACTTGTGGTTCAATTCAAAGATAAGAGAATGTTGAATTTTCCCTCTCAAAAACCTGATTCAAAATCATCATTATAGATGGAAATGAAACCTCAGTCTCTTGTCATTAGAAAGAAAAATGGAAAAATGCATTATTCTCCAGCAGCAACACCTCTCACACTGAGTACCAGAGAATACCTGATTGGTTTTGGAACGTTTGAGCAAGCCATTTCAAGCACAATATTTCATGAAAACAGCCATATCAGTAAATTATGACAACAACATACTAAGCTGAAACATAAATTTAGCTCAAAGATAACTTGGCAATCACAGTACCGAAAAGTCGTATGCAATTACACTCAAAATGACCAGCCCAAAAAGTATAAATTTTACAGTAGATGCTGTTCAAACATGAAATGTGTGTACCTTCAATTAACTCCTGCACAACGGTCACAGCAGACTTTTCTTCTAGAACTTCTGGCCACTCTGTTTCTCCTGTTTTCAAACCTTGAGCTAAAACCTGTCAGAGAACACAGCAGAAACAAGTTAATTGTGTACAAACAATTACACGTTAGGGGAGGTGAAGGGCTAGTGGTATTATCGCTAGACTATTAATCCAGAAACTCAGCTAATGTTTTGGGGACCCAGGTTCGAATTTTTTTTAAAGTTTATTTATTCATTTGTGGGATATGGCATCGCTGGCTAGCAAGCATTTATTGCCCATCCCTAGTTGCCCTGAGAAGATGGTAGTGAGCTGCCTTCTTGAACCGCTGCAGTCCACCTGCTGTGGGTTGACCCATAATGCCATTAGGGAGGGAATTCCAGGATTTTGACCCAGTGACAGTGAAGGAACGACGATATATTTCTAAGTCAGGATGCTGAGTGGCTTGGAGGGGAACTTGCAGGTGATGGCATTACCACTAAATCCTGCAGAAAAACCCATCTGACTCACTAATGCCTTCAGTGAAGGAAATCTGCCATCCTTATCTGGTCTAGCCTACATGTGACTCCAGAACCACAGCAATGTGGTTGACTCTAATTACCCTTTGAAATGGCCAGCAAGCCACTCAGTTCAAGGGCAGCTAGGGATGGACAATAAATACTTGCCAGCCAGCAAAGCCCACATCCCACGAGTGAATATTTTAAAAAATGCTTATGGTAGTTGAGAACTTTGTTTAAAACTCTTAAAACACCATCTGCTGTAGACTTTTCAAAATCTCCTACTTTGTCTCTAAATTTCACTCCTTAGTATAAGCTGTGCTTCAGTTGGTAGCGTTTTAGCCTTTGAGTTTCAGGGTTCAGGTTCCCCACTGCAGGACCTGGGCATAAAAACCTATGCTGAGATTCCAGTCAGTAATGCACCACCATTCTGCTGTGCTCTGGGTGAGAGAAGGGGGTGGGGGTGGCATTGACGGTGAGGGAAGGGAGGGAGAGGTAAGGGAGAGGGAGTGGAGGGATAGGGGACAGGGGGTTGCGGAGGAAGGGGGCTAAAGGAAGGGGGGGG